ATGCCGAGCGTCAGCGGCGTCACGTCGAGCAGCAGCAGACCCTCCGTCTGTTTGCTCTTGCCGCCCGTCAGGATGAAGGCCTGCACCGCGGCGCCGTACGCCACCGCCTCGTCGGGGTTGATGCTCTTGTTGAGCTCCTTGCCGCCGAAGAAGTCAGACACCAGCTGCATCACCTTGGGGATGCGCGTGGAGCCGCCGACGAGCACAACGTCGTGCACGGCGCGCTTGTCCATCTTGGCGTCCTGCAGCACACGCTCCACCGGCTGCAGCGTGCCGCGGAAGAGGTCGCCGCACAGCTCCTCGAAGCGCGCGCGNGGGGATGCGCGTGGAGCCGCCGACGAGCACAACGTCGTGCACGGCGCGCTTGTCCATCTTGGCGTCCTGCAGCACACGCTCCACCGGCTGCAGCGTGCCGCGGAAGAGGTCGCCGCACAGCTCCTCGAAGCGCGCGCGGGTGATGGTCGCCTGGAAGTCGATGTTGTCGAAGAGCGCGTCGATCTCGATCGTCGCCTGCGCCGCAGACGACAGGGTGCGCTTGGCGCGCTCGCAGGCCGTGCGGAGGCGGCGCAGCGCACGCTGGCTCGACGACAGGTCCTTGCCCTTGTTCTTGCGCTTGAACTCGTCGCAGAAGTGCGCGACGAGGCGGTTGTCGAAGTCCTCGCCGCCAAGGTGCGTGTCGCCGTTCGTGGCCTTCACCTCAAAGATGCCGCCGTCGATCGTCAGCAGCGTCACGTCGAACGTGCCGCCGCCAAGGTCGAAGATGAGCACGTTGCGCTCCTTGCCGTCCTCCACCTTGTCCAGGCCGTACGCGATGGCGGCGGCTGTCGGCTCGTTGATGATGCGCAGCACCTCCAGCCCCGCAATCGTGCCGGCGTCCTTCGTCGCCTGCCGCTGCGAGTCGTTGAAGTACGCGGGCACCGTCACCACCGCCTTCTTCACCTGCTTGCCCAGATACGACTCCGCCACCTCCTTCATCTTGAGCAGCACCATCGAGCTGATCTCCTCCGGGTTGAACGTCTTGGTCTCGCCGTGGAACTGCACCTGGATCACAGGCTTCTCATCGCCCTTCGTGATGACCTTGAAGGGCCAGTGCTTCATGTCCGCCTGCACCACAGAGTCGCTGAACTTGCGGCCAATGAGGCGCTTCGCGTCGAACACGGTGTTGTGCGGGTTCATCGCCACCTGGTTCTTCGCCGCGTCACCAATGAGGCGCTCCGTATCGGTGAAGGCCACGTAGGACGGCGTCGTGCGGTTACCTTGGTCGTTCGCGATGATCTCCACGCGCTCATTCTGCCACACGCCCACGCACGAGTACGTCGTGCCTAGGTCAATGCCAATAGCGCCTTCGTATGCCATTTTCAAATCCGGGACCGGGTTCTAGATGCTTTGCAGTAGTGAAGCTTTCTCCGTGAGTTGGGGGGCGGGGGGAGAGAAAGACAAGCAGAGAGTGTGGAAAAGAATGAACATATGCACAGGAGCAGCCGCAGCCGCAGCACAGGGCCGTCACGGCTGCACTTGCCCCGGGTGAAGGGTGGCGCAGCTGCGTCAGTGTCGGCCGTGGAAGCACCACTCGCAATAGCTTGAACAATAATAATAATAATAATAATAGGGGAGCAGGGAAATAGTAGTAATAATTATATATCAATACCAATAGGCGGTAAGAGGGCCGAGGCACTCTCACCGAAAAAAAAAAAAAAGATGGGCATCCATTACAGAATGAAAGTCCACTCACGTGCCACGTCCACCGGCGTCACGCACGCGCCTCTACCGGATGTGCTCAGTCAACCTCCTCCACCTTCGGCCCCGACGACGCCGACGGGCCAGCACCGCCCATGTCGCCGCCCATGCCGCCAGGCATGCCACCGGGCATACCGCCGGGCATGCCGCCAGCACCGCCGCCCATGCCCTGGTACATCTTCGTCATGATGGGCGTGCAGGTGCCCTCCAGCTCCTTCTGGCGGTGCTCGTACTCCTCCTTGCTGGCCTCCTGGTTGTTGTTGAGCCACTGCAGCGTCTCCTCCACGGCGCTGTTGATGGCGCTCTTGTCGGCCTCGTCCAGCTTGCCGGCGACGTTGGGGTCGTTGATGGTGTTCTTCATCGAGAAGGCGTAGTTCTCAAGACCGTTCTTCGCCTCGATGCGCTCGCGCTGGTCCTTGTCCTGCGCCTCGTACTTGGCAGCGTCCGACACCATGCGCTCGATCTCCGACTTGCTGAGGCGGCCCTTGTCGTTCGTGATGACGATCTGGTTGCGCTTGCCGGTGCCCTTCTCCTCCGCCGACACGTTGAGGATGCCGTTGGCGTCCAGGTCGAACGTCACCTCAATCT